GGAATATGGCTGCTTGTTATGATGGAAGAAGGGATAGAATAACATTATAATACCCATTGTAAACAATAATGCCGCAGTTGAGTTTAACTTATACATAATATTATGTTAATGCTTTTATTGTATGTATATGTATGTAAAACTGCCTATACCTTTTTCGAAATATTTATAAAAAACAATACAAAAATCAATTTTGCTATTTCAAATTTTAATCATTTCATTATACACCTTAAACATGCTCAAAGAACGAATGATTTACTACCTAATCAAATAAATATTAATTTGTTTTTTCACACAAATAAATTCAAATTTAATTTTTATTTAAATTGTTGAAAAAAACTATAAGTAGTGTTCTCTAGTGAAGCCTAGTGTAATAACATTCCTTTGTCTTCGCGATTGTGTGAATATTTTTAGTCGGGCGTAATATAACGTAATATAAACTTTGACACATGGAAAACTTTTATCATGGCGCATAATACGTTGTATTTACATGCATGGACGCACAACGGCTTCATCTTTTCGAGCCATATCTGGGATTCCCCTATTTTATTTCACGTATAACTGAAACTGAATAAACACATTACCCACACAATTTTTATATAATAATATTTTCTGCTTTCCGAGTCGTTCGCAATGAAAAGGAATCATTTCGGATTTTTATTTTTTGATATAATGAATACCAGGTGGTTTCTCAATGTTTTGTCGTGTTAATGATTTTTATATGGAACCTCTCTACATAAACAATCTTCCAAATTTTTGCTTTTGTTATGGCAAAAAGATCATTTTTATAAAAATTATTTATCTACAAACGCTGCATTTAGGAATAGCATTTGCATTAATTATAAAGTAAATGTACGTTATGTTATAAAAATAACACTTTTCCAAAAACAGTTCTATACCGTTTACAAAAACGTTTTGTAGTATTAATGAAAACCTAATGGTATTATTTATAGAAATTTTGTAAATTTTACAAATCCCTTTTCGTTTAAAATAAAACTTTTTTTATAATATTAATAAAATTTATGTTAATTTAACAACAAATTAATTGTTAATTCAATAAACTATTTTCATTGTAACAATGGTCACATTTTTAACGTACTGTTGGGTAGTTTTTTTTAAATAATTAAACCAAATTATTTATTATAACAAAAAATTAACTCATATTATACTCACTTTTTAAACAACAAGTCTGCTTCGTTTATAGAATAGACCTTAAATATTTCCTTTAGAAAACGTTGAAATTTTAATTTTCTTAGAGATCTTTTTGATATTTTTATCATGCTAGATTTTACCACACTTCACTCGCACAAGTGAAATCAATAAGATTATAACACATACTGTGGATTATAAAGTTATCTTTAATAAGGAGAGCGCTGGCCCTTTCCCCCTCTTTTTAAGGGAAATAACAAAAATTTTGTTACGATTTTCTAAATGAAAGAAAATTAATTTGAATTACAACGATAGTAATTAAAAAAATACAAATATGCCATAATAAAATGAACAAATTTTACTATAACAACTGCGCGTTACTTTATGTAAGCGCAATTCACACCCAACTATAGATTTAACAAAAACATTTTAAGTTCGACAAAGATTTAATAATAATAATAATATTAATTTTATAAGCATAAAGTATTTCTTTTGTCATGACAATATGATAACAACTATTACTTTGTTGGATGAACATTTTAAATTTATAACCTTTTATAAACTTTTATTTAAATAATATCTTTTAATACATCCTCCTTTTTTTTCAATTATTTATTGTTTAAAAAAATGGTTTAGATTATTTAAACCCAAGTAGATGAAACCTATTTTGACCATTTATACATATATGTACATACATATTTAATTTACATTTTTCTACGTATTTAATTAAACGAACTGTATTTGTCATCAGAAAAGTTAAAATACTGGAGAGTAAACGTGATGGGAAGTCAAATATTCTTCTCCGGTAGTAGCTCGTCATATCCATTTTGTATATTCCGGCCGTGTGCCGCTTTTATCAGCTAATATAGGGGATTATGAAGGGTCAAGTCGCCTGGTGACTTTGTCCCATCTACTTTTATGCAGCAGCATTTTCAAAATCGACTCGGAAAGTATATTGCAAATTATTTTTATAATAAGGATAAAAGTTTTTGTGGCTTTAGTACATATAATTTTTTCGCGATATCATTTCAATATCGTTTGATCCGATCGGCATTAAAAATTTATTGAAAACGCGCCTTCCTAAATACCAAGTATCCCGTGTTATTATCAGCACCAGAAGGAAAATGCATTTATTAAGCCTGTTTCACATAGATGCGAGATGCGAATTGCGAAATGCGAAAAATGCTACCATTGGTCCATTGATTTGGCGGGAAAGGCGTTTCGACAGATCCTGCGAATTCGCAAGATTTGAATCTGGGGGGCGGGAATCTTAAGATTGATCCAATATTTTGCGAAAATTGCATTAATTTGGCGTGACGCGCATGCACATTAATTTAATTGTTTAGTTTTTTTGATGTTTTTTTTTGTTTTTTATAATGGACAAAGACTTTTTTGAGGTACATTAATATTTCTTATTTTACCTTTATAGACTCACCTAGTTTTTTGGAAAATATTTGAAAGCTCGTTATTAGAAAATTAGCAAATCGATTTTGAAAATCTTTGGAAATTCTGAATAGCTGATTCTTTGATTCTTATGTCATTTTTTGGACTAAAATGAAGAATAACGTGAATTTTCAAAAAATTGCCATATAATCGTAGTTAGCCAAGATATCCACAAAATTTCGAAAACGTCCCAGTGAATGGAGATTTGAAATTTTGAAAAAAAACATCCCTTTTTTTAACACCCTGTAGTATAATGCTATGTGCACAATATCGTATTTTCAAAATTAGACGTAAGTCAAAGAATCCACTATTGCTCATTTTTTGGACTAAATTGGGAAATAACGACAATTTTCGAAAAATTGGCATATAATCATAGTAAGCCGCGATATTCACAAGACCTCGAAAACGTTTCCTTACTTATATTAGGGAGGGGTACGACTATCAAACTCAACTGCCTCATGAATGGGAATAACTCGAAATTTCGGAAAAAATACATCTCTTCGTTTAACACCCTGTAGTATAATGCTATGTGCAAAATATCGTATTCCCAAAATTAGACATAAGAGTCAAAGAATCAGCTATTTAGAATTTCCAAAGATTTTCAAAATCGATTCAGTTTTTTTCCAATAACGAGCTTTCAAATATTTTCCAAAAAACTAGGTGCGTCGATTTTTATGACGAGCAGTTTATATGAAACCGACTTTAATGAGAAATGCGAAAAATTATGGAAAAAATCTTGTTATTTCTTTTCGGAAAAGGTTTGTGCAAAAAAATGTTAAGTACAAAACTAAGTAAAAGCAAAAACTATGTTCTATTTCCCAACTTTCTTACATACTTAAGTATTTTTAATAAGTATTAAATATTATTAAGTATTTTTATTTTCTGAATTTAAAAAATGTTCATTTCAAAAAGTGAGTTTAAGAAATTTTCTTTAAATGCGTATTAAAAACGTTTTTCTCGATTTTTTATCTGGGCTCAGCTTGACCAATTTAACGAGTAATAAATTAATAAAAAGTTTTAGTTATTACTAATAATAATACTAAAATAATAATAAAAACTCAATATTTTCCAGCTTTTTTGAGGCAAAATACATTGACCAGGAAAATTACTATTAAAAAGGTGGAGGACATTATTTTAAATTTGCTATGTATTATCAAAAACAGAAAAGGTGGAAGGTTGAAAAAAAATGTTTTAAAACTTTTCTATAAGTTTATTATTATTTCAAAAATATTTTATAATTTATTTCTTTGAAATTGTCCTCTGGGTCACATAACTTTTTTCTGGGTCACACAATATGTGATCCAGGAGACGACTCTTTACTGTTTTAAACATAAAAAATTGTGACACAGGAGAATGCACAGTTTTGTCACGCTAGTATAAAAAATACAAAAAAGCGTGTTGTGGCTTCAAGATAGTTCAAAACACCATTTTCTACTAAAATCAGTTACCAAATACATTGCCGCAAGGGGGCAGCACCAAAAAATGCGCGCTTTAGAGTTAAATTTAAAATTTCACAATTTTAATTGCTAAAAACACTTCTAAATGGCGTTAAACTCATTTTTTTATAAAATATTAAAGTTGAGTGACAGCAAGTGTACAAAAAATTTAAAAATAATGTGGTAAATAAGTTATTTGTATATTTTTCGTGTATTTTTTGGTATCTTTTAGTAGGTATTATAAACAATGGTTTACTAATTTAATAAATACATATATCGCAAATGCATTGAATATAGGAAAAACTACCTTCAAAATTTATATAATTTATTTAAAGATGTAGATTTATCTGATGAAAACTCTTTTTAGATGCAAAAAGCATTTTAAAATAAAAACAATCATAGTGCGTTTAACGTACTGATTATACGTATACGTATACGGTTGTTCTCTGTATTCAGTAGACCCTGATTTGTGTTCGGCACCGGACAGATTGCGATTACTGCATATTGTTAAGGACTGATGGTGTGTGTTTAGCCAAATTTATTTGACATTTTATTACTCACCTTTGTTTATGGTAGCATACAAATGCCCAGCATATGCGATCACGATATTTTACCATGACATACGAATATGATCATTGTGTATTTTTAATAATTTATATATAGTTATTATCTGTAATAAATTTATATTATATTATTGTATATTTGGTAAAAATAAGTGTTAAGGCAACATACTTTTTTGATTTGTATAACAGTCCCAATATTATACAAATAAAAAAGCAATATATAAAGTAGATATAGGGCAAACTATAGTCCATTCCATTTAAGAATGGAGTAGATGTCGCTGCAAAACAAGACCGGTTTACACAGGAGAACGCGGTAAATTTAAATATAATGTCAAATGGACCTTCCACATTTGAAAACCTAAGAACTTTTTACAATATATACAATGTATATTATACGTGTATGCTAACTTACGTGTGGATGAGTTGACCCTCTTCACCGAAGGACACACGCGCCACAGTCCGATGCGGAAGCTAATGGAAGTCGCGACACGAGAGTTGGGCAGGGTGACCGGCTCTCTTGTGTACAGCCACGATCCGCTCAAGAAGGCTATGGAAAGCGCGGCCAGTGCGAATAGCCCCCATATCAGACCCAGACGGGAAAGGGCTCCCCGCGACTTGCAGCACATCACCACCTGAAACGCAAAGGATTATTTCAAGGTCTGAATAAAACCCAACATAGATTTTGTGCCACTTAAAATGTTACACTGTTATAAGCATCAGATTTGTTCAGAAGTTTGTTAATTTTATTTTGTACAATTACTTGTAGAAAGCAACAAACAACAGTAATGCAATTTAATTTTACAGTCATAAATAACAAATACAACCATATAACTGTACAAAATAAAGTATGTAAAGTTAGATAGAAATAAATGTAAAATGTTAATATTTAAAATAGTAAACATAAAATAATGTTTATAATAAATAAGTAATAAAGTTTGTTCTACCAGAACCCGAAAAATAAAAAGTTCAGCTTGTTTCTTCTTTCACAAAGAACAAGATCAATTAAAAAATAATAAAATATAGTTTAAAATAAATATTAATTTATTAACCACTTATTATAATATTTATGAGTCTTCTACAAAAATTAAATAATTTAACTATACCTTCAAACTTAATAAAGTAAAGATCCCTATTCGACCAAATTTTGTAAAACTATTTTTGTAATATTAATAAAATTTATGTAAATTTAACAACAAATTAATTGTTAATTCAATAAACTATTTTCATTGTAACAATGGTCACATTTTCAACCTACCTTGGGTGTTGGGTAGTTTTTTTAAAATAATTGCAAGGCAATAAAACAAATTATATATTATAACAAAAAAATTAACTCAAATTTTATGATGTACAAAATATAAATTACTTTTTAAACAACAAGTCTGCTTCGTTTATAGAATGGACCTTAAATATTTCTTTTAGAAAACGTCGAAATTTTAATTTTCTTAGTGATCTTTTTGATATTTTTATCATGCTAGATTTTACCACACTTCACAAGTGAAATCAATAAGATTATAACACAAACTGTGGATTATAAAGTTATGTTCACCAAGGATAGCGCTGGCCCTTTCCCCCTCTTTTTAAGGGAAATAACAAAAATGTTGTTACCATTGCAAAACAATAGTATTTTTATACCACTAAAATATTGTTGTTGTTGTTTTTAACGTAAGCTATTAACAAAGACTTTCTAAATGAAATAAAATTAGTTTGAATTACAACGATAGTAATTTAAAAAAGACAAATATGCCATAGTAAAATGAACAAGTTTTACTATAACAACTGCTCATTACTTCATGTATTACTTAAAGCGCAATTCACACACAACTATAGATTTAACAAAAACATTTTAAGTTCGACAAAGTTTTAATATAAACATGAAGTATTTCTTATTGCCATGACAATATGATAACAACTATTACTTTGTTGGATGAAATTTTTTTTATAAAAGCTTAACATTGCTGCTTTATTATAGTAAATAAGAATTTTATTAACAGTAAAAAAGTTTATTCTGTAAATAAAAATAATCTCAATATTTTGACAAACCGTAGGTTTTTAATAATAATAAAAATAATAATAATAATAATAATATATTTATTTAGCCTCTGCTATTTAAAACAAGTATACATTTACATTATTTCAACTTTTTAAATATCACAATTTTTCTATCACAAAATATTTTAACAAGTTTTTAAATCACAGTATTTAATTTCATGTGGTAAATTATTATACAATTGAAATCCTTTAAAAAATATGCTTTTGCTATATTTACTGGACGTTGGTTTATCTATATAAAAATCTTTGTCTTGCCTTGTTGGATAGTTATGAATATCACAGTTTAATTTTATTTTTTTAGTTAAATATATGGGAGTCATATGGTTTAATATTTTAAAAACAAAGATTAAGGTTCTAAAAGTTATTCTTTGACGAACAGACATAAAATTTAGAACATTTAACATTAAATTTATAGGTGTGTATTTGTTACATTGCAGTATTACTAGTCCAAAGAGAATTGTAGAGCAATATTCCAAGTGGGGGGCTATTAGTGTTTTGTATAATGTTATTTTAATATTTATACTTAATTCTCTTCCAATTCTTCTTAAAAAATATATTTTTTTATTAATCTTGTTTTGTACATAATATATTAGGTATATGTACGTATATACTTAAAAAATTTAACTGTTTGTCAATTATAACTCCCAAGTATTTAATTTCTTCATATAGGTATATCTAATTTTATTGCATTTATTATAATATTAAAGTCTACATTATTATTAAACTTAATAACTACCATATATTTAGATTTTTAAATATTAATACTTAAACTATTATTATAATTCTCTGAAGATCACAGTTCATTTCTTTTCTCATTTCCTCTAGGTTATTACCAATTATATATAACATGGTATCGTCCACAAACATAACTATTTTACATTTTAATAGTACCTTTGCAATATCATTAATGTATAAAATAAATATTATGGCAGCTAATTTAGTTCCTTGAGGAACCCTATGTTCATTTTTAATTTCTTCAGAGAATTTATTTTTAAACTTAACTTTCTGCTTTTTATTTTTTAAAAAGGATTCGAACCAATAAGACACTGAAAGTTCTACAGGGTACTCACCTCGGACACACCACGTCCAACGGCTTATATCTACGCGAGGGGGCTGTATACGAACAAACGAACTATAGCAGGAGAGAGTGGGGAGATTAGGGAGCTGGTGGCGTTTCACTTATTGTCCCCGCTTGAAATATGCGTTTTACATCTCACGACTTGGGCTCGTGCACTCCGGTTTTCATTATGGCCGACACGTTTTCCCCGTATTTTTGCACATTGTCTACAAACAATGCCCGAACGGGCCGAGGAATTCATTTTCCTGCTCTACGATCGCGATGCTTGCTGAATGCCTACGACGGGATTTTCTTTCCATTCTTTTCCACGCCTAGCCGAGTGGCTGAGAAGAAGTCTGAAAGGAGAGAGGTAATAAATATTTATTTCGGTTCAACAGGATTACTTAATAGAATTACGCAATAATGTCAGGACGATATATTTTTCGTCCTTATTTATTTAGCATAATTATTTTTTGATTCGTTAAGTGGAATTGTATTGTATAAGCTATACTAATTTGTAACGATTGAGAAAGTTGGCCGTTTCCATAAGGATGAAATATTGAATAAACAGAACTTTGTGTTGCTTTATAGCAATCCATAACATCCTTAGTTAATACAGTAAACAAATTATATATAAATTAATTAATTTTAATATCCATTTTTTAAATTTGACTCATGTCCCAGACATTTTTTCCGTTGCGTTACGTCCGTCGCGTTACCGATAGAATATTAAAAAAAACATATTTATGGCAACTTTTTTGGCACTCACGTGATCAACAAATGATGTTCGGACGAATACATTACCCAGCTGAATTTATTTATTCAATCAGGAAGAAGATATCGGTTAAAACAGGTGCGGGTAACGCGAATGTAATAATTGTTTGTCCGCTAAGTTACTCAAAAAAATAATAAAAATAAGGTAAGAAAAAATACTATTTTTCATGTTTATGTTTATTTTAGGGCACTAAAGCTCATTGAGAGTAATGAATGACTGTAATGTCTTATTATTATTTTTTAAATATGGTTTTACAAAACTTTGTCCACTGCGTTACCGAGTCCATTATGTTACCTTATGGCAACGCAATGGAATTTAGGGTAACGCAATAGAATTTTTCAATAGCAAAGTGGATATTTACCGTCGCTCTTATCATAAGTAGTTTATGATAAACCAATTTACAATTATTTGTGATTACAACTCATGATATAGATTCCATCCACGCAATATACAAGTACTAAAAGACACCAGCTTATAGTCAAAGAAAAAGGGTGTCTATAATTTAAAAATCTAAATTGTTATTCTGCAAGTGAGCACCACTACAAGGGATTTTGTTTATGCATTACTCTAAATCCGTACCACCCTTTATAGTTTCTTTTTAACGTTATCTGATTAAGTCCTTTGTGTACCCCAGTCCGTTGTGATACCAATGTCTATTTCGTTCCTTTTTTTTTGTTAAAAAATATAATTAAAATGATTTTTATACACTATCACTTGGTAATACGTGTTTATAAATTAGAGTTTTACAGTGATTAAAAGAAAATATTAATGGTATTGTTTTTTAACAAAGAATCGGAATGGTTTCTTTTAAAAAGTAACTTAACGAACATACATATTTAAAAAAAGCATACAATTTTTAATAAAAAATAAAATAAAAAATTGGAGTCAAAAGTTTGTGAACTAAGTACATTTTATTTCAAATTATTTCTCTAACAACTTTTTTATTGAATTAAATTTTGGATTTCAAATTGGTAACACAGAGGATTTTTCTGAAAAAACGTAAATTAAAAAGTGCACTGCCTGTCTTAAATGTAAGTAAACAAAAATCTAAACATTTAAAAAAATCCAACCAAAAGTTAATTTAAGCAAAAAAAAATAATTTGATCTTCATTTTCCTGAAAGCGGGTGTTTCTTAAAAATTACCCGTATACAATGTATACTATACATACTTGTAAATGTTTTATTTATATTTTGTATATTGCTTTTATAAAAACATAACTTGTCCATGGACATAATATTGTTTGTACAACACATAGTCAACTTTTATTTTTTTTAAATACAGGTAGGTCCATGTATATTTTTTTGACTGCCTAAACATGTATTTATATGTATGATGCTAATAAACTATTAAATTGCCATAACCCGATGATAGGTATTTGTAGTTATTACAAAAAATTGTAAAATTTTAATAAATCTTTTCCGATTTGGTATATAGCGAGTGGATACGGGAATTACTTAATATAATTAATTCCGAAACGATAAATTTGGTGGCTGTCGCGCGAAATTAGGCTTTAATCTCTTAAAAAATAGATTGCCGGATTTATTGCCAAATCCATTGAGAATTGCAAATTGATTTCTAACGATTTTTCAGGGGGCCGCGCGATTAACTGTACTTTATAAGATCCAAACAATAACGGCTTGGTCTTATCGTTACTACCTGCCATTGGAAAGGGTGGCTGTGAAGTTTTCCAAGCAGCTAGATATTAATAAATATTTATGACGTCATAAAAATACAGTATTACGTTTGTTAC